TGTTTTTCCTTAAAGGCAAAACTTTCAACCAGATAAGTATCTGTGTGAAAATTCTCCCCTCATATCACCCGCCACAACCACAAGCCGGGGCGGTGACAGTTTGCACCCCGGCCGTCAGGCACGGAGAGTCCCCACCAGCCCGCTTCCTCCTGCTGGAGGGGGCCCCGCAGGCCCCCCATAAGCGCTGCCCGCTCTGCATCCCTCGCTCCTACCACAGCGCCTGTCAAACAGACGGCACTAAACATGAATGGAAGCAGGTTAAAGACCCTTGGCAAACACAACATTAAAGAAGAATTTAGGCTACATTATTACTGAGCACATTAAAGACCAGCAGACAGAGGAAATGGCCTCTGTGTGCATAACCCCGGCCCCAGAACTAGCCCAGAGGCAGGCATGTCATTGGCTGCTTACCTGTTCCCAGCAGGCCCTGCTGCTCCTTTCTGCCCCAGAGCACGGGCTATTTACCACAGACGGAGACAGAACTCAGGGGTCGACATTACAGTAGCTATTTGATTAGCTGCCAGATCTTTTATTTAAAGCATTTAATAAACACGCACATAAATTATATCACAGCCTTTAAAAATATTTTGATAACTATACAGCATGGAGCAAAAGTAGATTTACAGTTGTGAGTACATGAAACAGTTTATTCTTGTTTTATTATTAATTATTGCATTATTTTCCATACGAACTGTAAGCCTTCTTTTGTCCATCCCCGTAGTTCTGTATAATTGGTTTCCTTGCTAATCCTGCATGTTTTATTATATGCATGTAAAAACATTTCGAGAGGCCGAGGGCTCTGCTGAAAGCGGGGACTGCAGAGGGGAGAGGCAGCCTGCAGGACTCAGTACAGCTTTCCAGCCCTTGTTTTAGTTCCGTGCATCTGAAAGCCTGTCAACTTAGCAACTGCGGGGACGGCCCCATCACTCCTGGACGAAGGGCCCCTTAGCACGGGCAGCAGCCCGCCCCTCCTCGTCTCTGGTTAGAAAGCGCTTCTTGATCCTGGAACAGAAATCTATCCTTCGCATTCAGTGGGTAATGAATCTACCCACCAGCCCTACACCCACCATCGAGGGCCACAGAGACCGAGGAAAAGCCACCATCTTCTTCGTGGCAATCTTTCTCATTTTTTAATGAAAAGCTTTCATATCTTCTCTTTTTTAAGACTTAACTCTTTTCTTTTTTTAAAAAACTTTGTATTGATTTTAGAGAGAGAAACATCAATTTGTTGTTCTATTTGTTTATGCATTCACTCACTGGTTGATTCTTGCATGTGCCCTGACCAGGGATTGAACCCACATCCCTGGTGTATTGGGATGATGCTCTAATTGAGCTAGCCAGCCAGGGCCTAATATCCTTTTGAGATTTCTTTTCTTTAAGCTACACGTGCTTATGTAGTTTTGGTCATTTTCTCTTGGGACTGATTAATTCAACAGATCTTTATTCAGTGCCCATCATGTGCCAGGCAGTGTTAACGGCGCGGGGGATAGAGCAGAGAATGGAGTGGACTCTGTTCCCTGCCCCGTGGAGTGTACATTCTAGCAGGGGAGGCAGGGACACCAGGACATCCAGGTAATACATGTGCTACATCAGCCGGCAGTTAAGAGCTCAAGGAAAGGCAGCCACGTCAGACACAGGCTGAGCTTTCAGAGAGAGCAGCCAGGGAAGGCGTTACTGAGAGAGCAACCTACATCTGAAGAGTTAAGCAAGGAAGCCTTGTGGATTTTAGGGCATGAGCATTCCAGGAACATAAACAGAAAATATGAAGGCCCTAAGTAGGGAGCATGCTTGGAATGTTCCAGAAGAGCAGGGAAGCCAGTATGGCTGGAGCAGACGGAGTAAGAAGGGCAGTGAGAGGAGGCTGGAGCTGCAGCAGGGTCAGCTCGCACGCGGCCCAGGCCACCGCGAGGACTCTGACTTCCGTTCTGGGTGGGGCAGGGAGCCGGGGGGAGGGCTCTGAACAGGGAACTGACGTGACCTGCCTTGTGAGGGGTCTGTTTTCTGTTTTGTTCTGTTTATACTTGTTTATTTAATAAGTTCATGCAAATTTGTTGATCCAACCTGCCAAGAACATGGCTAATAATATCTACCTGTTTGTGATTATTAATAATGGTGACTGTGGGAGAACCTAATCAGTGTTTCACAGCATAGAGGTGCCCTGCCAAGAGCTAACCGCTTAGAGTTGTCCAAGTCTTTCCACTGGTGTGTGAGAGCAACCTAACGAGCCTGCTGTAACAACTGGCCTTGCCTCACATGGTGTTGCCCTTATGCTTTAGTGGGACACACTGGCTCTACCCTGAGAACACACTGCAGTGAAGCCAGAGTGGGCCCAGCGAGACCAGTGCAAGAGAGGCCGGTGCCCTGACCTGGGCGGGCGCAGGACCGCTGAGGTGGCGAGAGGTGGGGGGAATCTGGTGAGGCTGTCCAGAGCAGGGGGTGGACCTAGAGCAGGGGCCAGCAGGCTGGTCCACGGGCCACATCTGACCCACTACCTGTTTTTGTAAATAAAGTTTTATTGGAACACAGCCATGCTCCTTCACCTACATACTGTCTATGGCTGCTTTTGTGTCACCAGGGAAAAGAGGAACAGCTGTGGCAGAGACCCTGAAGGGAGAAGGAACAGCATGTATAATGGCTGTTAAAAAAATAAAAGTTTTCCACTTGTGCTGGGAAACCTGACGAAGCAGGAAAGATGGGAGAGCTGGGGCGACAGCTCTGAGCAGGTGACAGGAGCCGGGGCCCAGGACATGGCCTGTGACAAGGGCAGGACAGCGCCCGTGTAATGAGAACTGGCCACACATCCAGGCAGGTAGGGGATGCAACAACAGGAGCTTCGGGGGGCCCCTTCTGCCACATCCGCCTCCTCCGCGAACAGCAGGCGGGCCATGGGCAGAGGGCGTGCGTGGAGAATGAGGCTGAGACTGGGGGCGCTGTGGGACCATCCGCAGAGTGGGTGGGGAGCCCAGGAAACACGGTGTAAGTGCTACACCATGAGGGGTCCCCCGAGTTTGTGACCCTGTGGCTGATGTGAGACAGACGCCCGGCCCAGGTTTTTCTCTCGCTGTTTCACTGCATGAAGGAGACGCTGACATCATCGCTGGTGGTCCCAGACGGACGGCAAGCGGCAGCCAGGAGTGCGGAGGGGCTCGCCAGGAGCACACCGCGCCCCGCGTCTCCTGCCTGACCTCTGCCAGTGCACAGAGACTCCCCGTCCTGCCACGTCTCCCCGGACAAGTCCCAGCGCTCAGGCAGGCCCGGCCACGGTGAGCCAGGCAGCACTGCTCCCGCGCAAAAGGTGAAACCACAGCTGGAACCCTGAGCCCTTCCCCTACCAAGGACCAGCTCAGCTTCTGAAAGGCGTACAGAGGGGACACTTCAGGCAAAGGCAGTTTATCGCTGCCAGGCGCTTTGGCCTGAACTTCTCTCACTCTTATGATTAATGGAATTATGCATAAGCATTTATATTTACATGGGGAGGAAGCTACAATGATGTCTAACAAGAGTTACAGCAACAGAAACTCCGTGAACACTCCTAATTGACAAGTTTGCCTAGATGAAGACAGGGTATTCAAAGGGGGACTGCAGGAGAGAGCACTAAATGACGGCAGAGCTGAAAACTGCGTGTGCAATCAATTCTAGATGATGTGGTGATCAATACAGTCTCTTAGCACCTGCTTTTTCATAATTAGAATCTTACGTACTTCCAATAATCATTATAATGGTAATAATTATGTTTGATAGCAATGTTCATTTAGAGAAAAGACCGAATTTTCAAATATACAGTGTGAATATCATTTCCCAACAAAGATACTCCTAGATATCAACCATAAGCTCATTAATTATGAAGAAATAAACCTTTATGGTGGTTAAATAATTGTTACTGAGACAGTCCTAAAACATCATACCAGGTAAACTTCCATACCCTAAAAATTCAGAGAAAGAATCCTATGTCAATGTAGAAGGAAAGAAGGAAATCCGTAATTAGAGGTTTGTTGCTTTGACCACTATTTCAATCTTTCATTTTCAGATCATTTTATCTTAAAATAAAAGCATCAACCAAACTCATCAAAGAGAAGACCCTTTTTAGACAAAAGGATAAGTAATGGAAAGGAAAACAATTGATTTTAACAGATCACTATTAAAATAACTATGAGGTGCATCCGGAAAAACTCAGCCTTTGTTAATAAAATGAGAATGGTTTGCACAATATCGACGTAACCTGGCAGCCAAGGAGAGTGGACTGAAATGCACACGCGTGAACAATGATGACTTTACTGTCCCAGTCAGTGGGCATGAGTAGACACCGTGAGTGTACTCTGTGGCCGTCGCATTCAAAATGACTGAGTGAGTAGAGCAACGAAACTGCATCAAATTCTGCATTAAACTTGAACATTCCTCCCCGGAAACTACTCAGATGATTCAGGAGGCCGCAGCTGTGGGCAGCTGGTGACTGACAGCTTCATCACAACAACGTGCCTGCTCATGCATCACATCTCGTGCAGAGTTTTTTGGCAAAACATCAAATCACCCAGGTGACTCAGCCCCCCCACAGCCCAGGTTTGGCACCCCGAGACTTCTGGCTTTTCCCAAAACTAAAATCACCTTTGAAAGGGAAGGGATTTCAGACTGTTGATGAAATTCAGAAAAATACAATAAGGTAGCTGATGGCAACTGGGAGAACTGTGTGAGGTCCCAAGGTGTCTACTTTGAAAGGGACTGAAGTATCTGTGTCCTGTGTACAATGTTTCTTGTATCTTGTATCTTCTTCAATAAATGTCTTTATTTTTCATATCACATGGCTGGGTACCTTCCGGACAGACCTCGTGGACCTTAACAAAACATGCTGTAATGATCTTAAATTTTAAACTACTGCTTGCAGGATTTTAAAAAATTGCTGTCCAGTTTATTTTACCCTGTTGCGGAAATGTCACAGTTGTAAGCTCAGTAAAAATCTACACGTAGAATTACAAACACGCCCCAGATATGCAGAGAAGGCTTACCTGATGCACCGATTGGGGAGGTAGCTGGGGTCATGTTGTGGACATTGAGACCAAGACTCTGGGAGGGGCCCGGGGCGGAAGCTGCGATGGGAGGCCCCGGAGGGCTCTCCCTCTGGGGAGAGGTGAGCGGGGTGGTCGGCTGGGAGGTCTGTCCACCAGCAAGTCGAGCAAGGCGCCTCCGTCGGATCTACGGGCGGAAAGGGCACACTGTGAGCGAAGAGCAGAAACACCGTTTGCCTCAGAATAACAGTAACGTTATCAATAACCATGCCAGAGCCGAACAACTCAATCCACCTCCAGAAATACATCCCCATTTGAGACGATACTCAGTGAATAGTATATTTGCAAGCTACCACTTTGCTTTTTAAAAAGTGCACCTTGAAAATAATTTTAAATCCTAAATTCTACCCCAAGTCAAAATTCAAATTAGATGTGGAAGGAGAATAAACACATTCTCTCTCACACACACACACACACACACAAATAAAAACTGCATCTCGATTGCCTTAATCATCTTATCTCTGTTTATCATACTTTCATATCTGATAATGTGAATTTACAATTAGCACACCACACTTTTATTTTTTTTTTAAGATTTTATTTTTAGAGAGTGGAAGGGAGGGAGAGAGGGAGAGACACCTCAGTGTGTGACTGTCTTTTCACACTCCTCCTACTGGGGATAAGGCCCGCAACACAGGCATGTGCTCTGACTGGGAACCGAACCGGCAACCCTTTGGTTCGCAGGCCAGCACTCAGTCCGCTGAGCCACACCAGTCAGGGCAGCACACACTTTTAAACACACTAAAGTTGGTGTTTGCAATAAAACTACCTAACTTGGCCATTTTAAATAGGTGATATTAAAAATAAATATCCAATTTAATTCATTAAAACAATGACAGAAAACAACAAAAGTTATAATAAAGATTAAGTTTTGCTATCATTTTTTAAAAATATTTTACTTATTTTTAGACAGAGGCAAAAGGAGGGAGAAAGAGTGGGAAAGAAACAGCAACATGTGATTGCCTCTCATGCGCCCCCCCACTGGGGACCTGGCCTGCAATCCAGGCATGTGCCCTGACTGGGAATCGAACCAGCAATGCTTTGGTTTGCAGACCGGCAGTCAATCCACTGGGCCACACCAGCCAGGGCTTACTATCATTTTTAAGAGCAATAAAATAAAAATATAATTGACAGCTTCTTCCTTATACTGATATCCCAGAGTTATGAAGTAATTACAAATATGTACCACAAAATCCCAGTGGATCAAAGAACTGTGTCCCCACATTCTGAGAGTCATTACATTTGTAAACAGCCAATCGGTGCTCACCGACCACCTGCTGTCCCAGGCCAGGCATCAAAGCAGCAAACCGACCAGGCTGCTCATGCTCTTTCCACTACAAATGAGGAAGGTGACAGCTGAGATCATGACCAGGGTTAACAGGGACAGACCTCATCTGAACAAAGGGACTACCTGTCACTCTAACATGGCAGGAAATCTGCTCCTTTGTTGTTTAGACGACCAAGAACATCCTGATTCTTGGCCGCAAGGTTCAGAAGTATACACCCGCCCGCCAACACCCCCCCCCCCGCCGCCACCCCTGCCCACCACGTTCCTGCTGCAAATACAGCCCTCAAAGAATTTAAACAAAAGCCTGAAGCTGTTTGGTTGTTTATCTACTTGATCAGATTAAACCCTTTGAAGACAAGGATTGGGTCATATTTACTTAATAAACACTGATGTAGCATTTAACTATCTTCTAACCATGTTCTAAGAGCTTTACAAACATGTACTTATTTAATTCTCATAATAACCACTGAGGTAGGTATCAATGCTTATATTATGTCCATTTTATATATGAGCAAACTGAGGCACAGGGAGGTTAGCTCTCTGGCCTAATGAGTAACTGGCAAAGCTGGGATTCGAACTCATGCAATCTGGCTCCAGTGTCTGTGCTCTTATCACTAAAACAACAGTCTGGGGACCTCTGGGGGGTCTCCAGGGCCTTTTCAGAGGGTCTGTGAGGCCAAAACTATTTTTCAATAACACTAAGGCATTTTCCTTTTCACTCTCTCTCACAAATGTCCAGGGGAGCTTGCCAGAGGCTACATCACATGTGATGTTGCAACTTCTTTAAATAAATTAGTTAATATGAGAACTGAGCTGTCCTCTCTAAGGTCAGACATTAAAAAGGCTGGAAAATGCAAAAACAATGTCACTCATTAAATTTGTTCTGGAAAACGTAGTTACTTTCATTAAAAACATGTTCTTTTTATTAGCATACAAAGGCTTTTATTATTTTTAAAGTAATAAAAATAAAATATAATTACTTTATATTTTATATTATAAACATATTATAAAATATTATATACTTTATATTAAACTATGTTTTATTAATATCAACATATTAATAATTCTTTTAAGTTTCTCAGTTTCCATTTCTAACATGGTAACTATCGCTGGGCAAAGCCCACGTGAACAGGAGCTCTCGGGGAGCGGGAGCGTCACTGCTCTGTGATGGGGGAGGAGCCCTGAGAGCAAACCCAGCGCAGTGCCGCACCCGCTGCCCCGCCCACCCTCCCTCCAGTCCGTCCCAGGGGCTCCCCGCTTGCCCGCCTGGCTGCACAGAGACGGTGAGAAGTGAAAGGCATCACCAATCAGCCAATGAGCGTCGGTATTGTCACTGAAGAAATTACCGAAGTGCTTCTCTTCTGAACACTGAACTGGAGTGGAGGGTGAGGGAGGTGGACCAGAAATTCTCACCCCCAACCTATCCTCAACCCAATTATTCAGGCCAGAGACCCAAGATCTGCGTTCAGTGCTTTCCTCAATTCCCTCCTCCTCCTCAAACACACACAAGGTATGACCGAGTGTGTCCCTTAAAGCTGAGCCCACCCTCTTCCCTGAGCCCCTCGGCCACCACGCTATCCAGGACCTGAAGGATCTGCCTGTGTCCACGTGGGCCTGGCAAGGACAGAGACCCCACGTGCCTTCCTTGAAGCACTTTCAGAGTCCGAGATTCCAGGAATGCAAATCAAAACCTCAATGAGATAACACCTGACATCCATTAGGATGGCTGCTATAAAAAATATATAAAGTAGCAAGTATTAGCAGGGGTGTGGAGAAATTGGAACCCTCATGTACTGTTGGCAGGAAGTAAAATAGTGCATCCACTGTGGAAAACAGTATGCAATTGCTCAAAAATTTAACCATGGAATTACCACATGACCCAGCAATGCCAATTCTAGATACAGAAACCCAAAAAAATTGAAAGCAGGGACCTGAACAGATATTTGCTCATCAGTGTTCACAGAAGCATCACTCCCAATAGCCATGAGGCAAAAGCAGCCCAAGTGTCCACAAGTGCATAAACCGAATGCGGTAGATCCACACAACGGAACAGTATTTGCCTGAAAAAGGAAGGAAATTCTGACATATGCTACAACATGGTGAACTTTGAGGACATTATATTGGGTCGGCCAAAAAGTCCATTTAGTTTTTTTTATAAAATAAAAGACACATTTCTCATTTTCAGCAATAACTTTACTGATTTGGACATTCTGAGTATGTGGGTTCTCTCCCACGTGGTATAGCGTTGACTGTTCTCAAGTAATGTCTTGCTTGGATCACTGTCACCCTCAGCTGGTCTCCCCGACCGTGGAGCATGTCCAGCAAGAAATCTCCAGCACAACAATTTGCAAACAACCTTTGATGCATTTGATCAGTCACAGCACCTTCTCCATACACTGCACAAATCTCTTTTTGCATTTGTTGCATTTTTACCTTTCGTGAAACAATAAAGCATAATATGCCAAAAATGCTGCTTTTCTTCCATCTTCAGTATTAAAATGGCTACATAAAAATTCACCAATTTTGATAAGTTTTTAAAAATGCACTCTGATATGACTAGAGCCATCTTACAGAAAAAAACAACAACAAACTTTTTGGCCCCAATGCTATGTGAGAGAAGCCAGTCACAAAAAGACAAATACTGTATGATTTCACTTACATGAGGTGCCTGGACTAGTTGAATTCATAGAGACAGAAAGCAAAACGGTGGTTGCCAGGGGCTAGAGAGATTTTTAAAATCTAAGTATAGAATAAAATCCTACATGATTCATTCTCCACACAGCAATCACAGGAATTCTTTAAAAACACAAGTCACTCTCCCCTGCCTAAACCTTCGATGGCTTTGCACTGCACCTGGAATAAAAGTCCTCACCGCATCCTCCAGAGCCACTGGCTGCCTCTCCAGGCTCACAGTGTCCCACCCAGGTGACAGCTGCACTGGCCCTCTAGCAGTTCCTAGCACATCGTAAGCTCTACCTTGTCACTGGCCTCTTGCAATTCCTTTAGCCTAGGAGCACTTCTGCTAATTCTTGGCAAGGCTGGTTCTTTCTCTCTCTTCCATTCTTTAATGTCACCTCCTGCAGGACTTCCCTGACGACAGTATCCAGGAGAGACCTCCTGCCACACTCACTGATTTAAGGTCCTCTATTCACATCCTCCAAGCAGGCCTCATGGTCTATGAAAATCTTATCTTTTTTGCCTCATGGTCTTACTTCCTCCCTATTTCCCCAGTGGAAGGGAAGCTCCATGAAAAAACCACGCCTGTCTTGTCTGTCTCGTTCACTGTCACATCCCCAGCTTTGAGCAGAGTGCCAGGCACGTAACAGCTCTGTCCCTACTGACCAATGGGAAAAATCAATAGGTGGATTGGGGGCGGCCAAGTACGGAAGCGCACACCAGGACGCGTCACCGCATGCGCACAGCCCAGGCAGCGCTGCAGACTTGCGAGGCGGACTCCTTCCGGTACTCACACACTCAGCAAGTCCTTGCTGAGCGCCACGGTAAACCAAACACTTCCTCCCCGCTGGAGCTCAGGTTCTAGTGGAGGCCAAAGGACAAGAGCCAAATGACCAAAAGTGATGCCTGGTGGTTATGAGCACTGTTAGAGATAAATAAAGGCCGGGGGGGGGGGGGCAGGGCCGGCAGGGGAGGGACCACGCAATTTCTACGGAAGGCAGACTGAAAGGGGCGCCTGAAGCACCCGGAGGAGAGAGGCGGCCAGCCTTGCGGGCGCCTGGGAAGTGTGGTGGGGCTGTGCTTGGCACGTTCCAGGTCAGGAAGACAGTGCGGTGGCAGCAAAATGAGCAGGAGGAGCAGAAGATGAGTTCAGAGATGAGAAG